CTCAGAAATTGGGGTGTCAGTTATCTTGGTAGCCTTGAGTTAAAAACAGAGGCACTTAGTTGTAAGTTCACATAAGGTAGTTAACTCCAACACACACACACACACACACACACACACACACACAAGCAAACTCCAAAACAAAAAACAAAATAACTGTGCAGCCAGCTCTGCAAGAGGTAAGAGGTTTTTCCTTCAGAGAAACATATTCAGAACATGAAAGGAGAAGAAAGCAACACAAAGCTCGATCAGGTGTACTATGTAGAAGTCTACAAAGTAAATAAAGAGTTCCATACACCAATATGATAGAAGAACTTTTAAAATTCTATAAAAGGATTTTTAAAAAAAGTAGGTAACATCCCAGAAATCAGAGCCAAAACAGATGGAAAAGAAAGTATATACAATTAGATAAGACAGATAAGAAAATTAGAGACTCTATCCAGAACTCCCAAACCGTATGCTAAAAGAAAGATTTAAATTATCAAGAAACACCACAATTTGTTTCTCAGAATTGAGAATCACGAGATAAAAAGTAATCATCACCAAGTGCCCAACACAACAACAACAACAAAAAAAACCATACTAAAGCATAGGACATTTCCTAAAACCAATATTAAAAAGGAAAAGAGGCCTCTATAGAGGAGAACAAAAGGATTCAAGATCAGAATGGTACTAGGCTTTCCAATTAAACCTCTGAAAACTAGAAGACAATGAAACAAAGCCTTCAAATTTCTGAATGAAAATGATTTTTGAAATGGAGTTCTATACCTAGTTGAATTATTAAAATAAAGTGAAGATGTAAAATAAAGGCATTGTTTAGAAATAAAAGCTTTAAAATTTTATCTTGTATTCACTCTTTGATGACTCCAACAAAATGAGGGCATAGATCCAAAAGCAAGGGTTAATTAGATCCAGGAAACAGGTCAAACATAAGACTAAATCAAAGGGGAGTCCTATGATGAGAGAGAAAGGAAGGCAGGTTTAGAAAGTGACCAGTCAAGACTGGAACAAAAGTCCACAGAATTCCAAAAGAGAGTTCTCTAGAAGAACCTGAAACTAGAGGATTATCTGACAAATTTGACCATGTAAAAAATTACTGACTAATCAAGAGCTGAATAATTATTACAAAAAAATAATTATAAAAACCTATGAAATTAATTCCATAAAAACAAATATAGCAAAAATGAAAAGTAATCATAGTACCTACATGGCTAAGCCATAAGCAATATTAAAGTAGTAGTATTATAAAGTTTGATTGCTGATTTAATTTAAAAACTGTTTATCCATAACAGAAAATGAGTGATATATCAAGAGACAGTGCTATAATTCTAAATGTGAAATAGCAAATATAAGTAAAACTAAAAGTAATGAGAGTGATTATATC